CAAATTACAATCATCATGAAACGTAGTTTGGTTGTAATTTACATGCAAACTACAACGCGCGATGTAATGTGAGTTTGCTTCACATGTAATATGCAGTCATCAGCTGTAGAGGTTCGCATGTAACTTACAATGAAACTACAATGTACACGGGTTGAAGTGTGATTGTAAATTACATGTTAACTACCACGATCAAATGTATAGTGTAATTCACATATAAAGTACATCGGATCTATGACGTATTACTGATCAGATGCAATATAACTAAAATCCAACATGCTACGGGGAATCCACATACGTTATCTATAACGAATGTAGCTACTCGAAAACAAACTGCTACGTGTGCAATGCAAGGTGTTAGTGAAATGCAAGCAGAAAGTCCTCGAAGGGCCCGTTGTGTTTCACCCACACGTCAGTGATGCCAGAGACGCCCTCGACTGAGTAGAACTTCTGGACGAGCCATCTCCCGCCCGCTCATTCAGCAAAGGCGCGCGTCTGCTTTCCCTTGCTATCCCTGGTCCCCATCCCCTTTCGTCATCTTTCTCTTCCTGCTCCTTTCCTCACCATCCTCGTCACCCTTCACCGCCCCCATCCTTCCCTTCGCCGCAGTCCAACTACCGAGCCCCTCCCCAAACCATGCGCAACGACCATGGGTGCGAACGCAGACCAGCTGCGCGCAGCAACCGCGTAGAACAACCACTTTCACGTGCAACAACCAGGCGCTAATGCAAAAACACTTGCACGTGCGCGGGAAAAAAAACCCATGCAAACAAGTAACGCGTACAAAGACAACGCCCACTCTTTGGAGATGGGCGGCTTCAAGTTCAGCACGCTCAGCACCTCGGGGACGAGCGTCGGCTCCATGCGGCCGAGGGGGCGGCCGTCTAGGAAAGGGCTCGAGACCCCTTCGAAAGCTAAACATAGCAGCGAACGCTACGATATAGCTATGGCAAGGGATGGGGGGATGGGCAACGCATCGTGGACTATAGCCAAGGACAGAATGCGGAAACAAACGTGACAAGCGTGTCCAGTTGTGACAAAAAAGTGGCAACGCGAGAGCAAGCGTGAGAAACGCTGCAGTACCGAACGACACCACATGACAACCAAGCGGGACAAAGCGCAAAAGTTGGCACAGCACTCGCACGTATAGAACGGGCACGTCACCATTGAAACTACCAAAGGCAAGGATCACAGCAACAAATGCATGAATACATTGCCGCCGCAGAAATGAATTGAACGAACGCAGTGTGCGATGTGTTTTCTTCCAAACAAAGCGTCGCATTGATGCGCTTCTTGCTACCCCAAGTTCCGTATAGAGGCGCCCGCCCTACAGGGCCTCTACGCCCACGTGCACGGAAGCTGCAGAATTCGGAATTACAGTTGGGAGCATATAACACCACGCGTTTCTTAACACGCGTTACGTTTCTTAATGTTTTTCATCGCGCCTACACGATATTTACGTTACTGCGTTTCAGTTGGCGAAAACGATTTGCGCAGGGCGTGGCACATCAACTCACCTTGCGACTATAGTTCCTCCCTCCTCTGCCCTCCTTCCCCCCCTCCTCCTCCCCCCCCCCCCCCCCTCCTCTCTCTCTCTCTCGCCCCCCCCCCCCCTCTCTCCCCCTCCCCCCGAGCCCCACAGCTCGAGAAAGCTCGCGGCCATATCACTCCTGCTCCTCGATCGACACACCGCGGGCCTGGAAAAACCCAACCTTGGCTGCCGCGCACTCGGCCTTCGCGCTCTCCTTGGCGAACTCGTCATCGTGCCCGCTGTTGAGAAGTTCGGCGCGCCTCTTGTGCCAGATCCTCGAGTGCTCACGGTTCCACTCGGCCTTCAGCTCTTTCTTCTGGTGGGGCGCGAGAGCCTTGATCGGCGTCAAGCCGTCCTGGCTAATATAAACATGTGCCAGCGCGCTAGCAGAGCAAACCACGCGCAACAATCATATGTCAAACACACCAGTCACATGGCAAACGAAATCGATCACAGGGCAAAGCAAAATAGATCAATCATGGGGCAACACACAATGCAATACAAAGTAATGTGAAATAACACAAACAATGGCATTGAGCATGCCCAATCCTTCGGTGGCTCGGCCGCGTACGTCGCGGGGCTGGCCTTGGGGGCGACCGCGGCCTTCCGCTTCTTCATGGGCGTCTCGGTTTTGAGCACGGGCTCGCGGGCGCCCTCGGCCTTGGCGCTGTCCTTGCCCTTGCGCTTGTTGCCAGTCTTGCGCTTGCCCTTCTTGCCAGTCTTGCCCTTCTTGCCCTTTTTGCCCTTGCTGCCCTCGGCCTCCTCGCTGGCCCCTCCCGCCTTGGCGACGCGATGCCCGAGCGCGAAGTTCTTCTGTCCCCTGAGCTTCGGGTTCACGAACGCAGCCGTCAAGGCTTGCATATACGTGTCCTCGTCTGTCTTGTCCGCGAACAAAGCCGAAAACATGCCAGTCTCCAGGTGCGACTCAGTCGCTGGCGGTGGGGTCGGCTCAGTAGCTGGCGTTGGGCTGTCTTGCTCGCTGGACAGGATCTTGGCGAAGATGCTGCACTCGGTCGTTGTCGCCCCGACGCTCGGGGCAGGCTGGCCCGCGACGGCGGGGCGCTCTCCCCGCGGGGCCTCGTTCCACTCGCCAGGCTCTGCCATCTCGTCGAGCACGGTTGAGATTTTCTTCATCTGCTCGGTCGTCGCCTGGAGATGGCATAAGGGCGACAGCGGTAATAATGACTGTGGTTTCTACATGAAGCGTGCTGTCACAACTGCTTGCCTCCGCGCGGTGTCTGATCGCCCTGCGCATAAAATCATAATAGTAATAATCATGTTTTAAAATAAAACAATATAGATATAGATATATACATATATACAAACGTAATGCCACTGAATTCAAGCAGTGTCCGAGAGCGTCAAAGCCGAGCCGCTGCGCTGGCCTGGGATGCTCGGCGCTGCAGACGGGGCAGCAGCGCCCTCGAAATCTTGTCGCGCAAACCTCTCAATGAGCGCCTTCCCTCGTGCAACAACTTGGGCAAGCGTCCACGGGCATTGCATGGTGCTTAATGCTTGCTGCTGACGCTTGCGCAAACTTATACAGAAAAAAACAACATGTCTCCTGGTTCGAGAGAGTCTGACGTTTGTCATTGTACTTCCAGACGAGCGAGTACTTGGAAGCCAGCGTCCTGGCGACGCTAAGTAGCCTATAAGGCGCATGTGTGCGCCTCCCCCCCTTTTGCCCCCTATTCCCCAGACCCACCCCTCCGCCGCCCCGCCCCGTTGGGGATTGCAGCGTTTGCGCCCCGATGTACCACGCAGCGTCGTGTGCGAACAAGTCGGCCGGCATGTCTCCCATGTGGATCGGCTTATCCTCATGCGTCAAGTATGGGCATCAACATCTTGTTTGCATATCGACATAGTATGAGCAAGAAGGCGTTGCTCGTTAAATGGCCACTGGTAAATCAAAAACATTACATCATTTGCCGTTCCCAAGACAAGTGCTCGCGTGCATGTACAGGCGCATGAACATGCAATGCAACCGAAACGAACAACACTTGCACGCGTGACAAAACATGTACAGTATCATAACGTATGCAAACATGATTGCATGGCTCACTCGATCATTGGATACAGTTCAACGGTGTAGGGACTCACCGTGTGAAATCTGGAATTGGACAAGTATCTCACACGACCACTACGCAACAACATCCTCGTTCACTTTGTAAATCGCCTGGCGCAGCTTCACCTGCGAAATGTTCAAATTGGGAACTTCAATGGCGAGTTCTTTGTACAGCGGCGCAAAGTCGGGCATCATCTTCGAATCAGGCTGCGTCTTCGCCGTGACGCGGGCGCGCAGGGGGCTTGGGGATGTTGTTTAATTGTCCTCCTCCTCCCCTTTCCCTCCTCCTGCCCCTTCCCTCCGCCTCGCCTTCGTCGCCCTCCTCCACTCTCCCATCTTACTATTCAAGTATCCAAACAATCATCTCAGAAGCTTCCACAGGCTGCGGTGCCCCATGTTGGTCAGATACTGGTCCACTATCGAAGCCAACGCTGCAACTGACGTGTCGACGGGCGGCCTGGACCTGGCGCGCCTGCCCGTGGCTGCCATGGCGCGGGCCGTCGGAGCCTCGAGATCCGACATGGGGCAGCCGCGGGTGGAGCCTCTTCCAAAATGGTCTGGTGGTGGGTCCACAAAAGGCTGCGCGGAACAAGGAATCCACATGCGAAACCCACTCGCAACACGTGAGCACAATCAGGGGGCAAAAACGTGTCCAACGCAGTACAACGAACGTGCTGTGGACATGCGTTGCGCTAGACGTCAACATTGAATGGTACATGGTGCACGCAGCGTCTACAATAGTTAACGGAAAGGTTTTTCGATGCCGCCAAGATGATTGGGGGTTCTCAAACGCCCCCCCCCCTCCCCCGACACTTACGCATAAGTGCTAGCATCCGTTCCAAAATGGCATGAGATTAACTCAAGTAGGGCATTGCGCGAGTATTACATCGAGTTAAACAATAACTCGCCCGAGTTAAGTTTAATTGCTTCAAACAGTTAAAAAATTAACTCAAACGAGGGGTTGCAGACTGAGTTAACGAGTTAAATTAACCCCCGGTAGAAAATACCGGGAGTTATTTTTTTAACTTGATATGTCTTAAGGGGTAGCGGTGGCGGCGGGGAACCGGCGGCCGCGGCGGCCGCGGCGGCGGCGGCGGCGGCCACGGCGGCGACGGCAGCCGAGGCGGCCGCGCGGTTGGGATCGCGGCCGCTGCGCCGCGGTTTGGATCGCGGCCGCCGCCGCCGCCGCCGCCGCGGTTTGGATCACAGCCGCTGCGTCCGCCGTCGCCGCGGCCGCCGCTGCCGCGCCGCGGTGTGGATGCGGGGCTGGGTCGCCGCCGCCGCCGCTGCCGGCAGTGGCGGCGGCCGCAGCCGCGGCGGCGCAGGATGGATCCTGGGCTAGATGTGGCCATGGCCGCCGCCGCTGCCGCTGCCGCTGGCGGCGGCGGCCGCGACCCAGCCCTGGCGAGGCCCGAGGAGGAGCAGGGCGGCGGCGCGGCGGGCTGCGGCGACGCCGCAGCCGCGGCGGCGGCGGGCGACTGCGCATCGTGCGGGTCGGCGTCGTCCTGCGGGAGCAAAGGAGGAGCGTCGCCGTCGCCGCTCGTCGTCGTGGTCGGCGGCGTCGGTCTTGACCGGCGCCGCCGTCGTCGCCAACGACGTCGTGGAGGGTTGACAATCGGGGCTCGAGGATCGAGTTTGTTGAGCGTTTGTGGTTTTTGGGGGAGGTCTGAATGGCCGCCGCCACAGCCGTCTCCGCCATGGTCATCGTGGTCATTGTCGTCGTCGTGGCCGTCGTGGTTGCCGCCGTTGTCGTCGTCGTTGTCGTCGCCACCTCCGCCGTTGTCGTAGTCGTCGTCGCAGTCTTCGCCGGGACTCGAGGAGCGAAGTCTGAGGATCGAGGCTTCTGGACGTTCTCGGCCCTTTGTTTGGCCCCCAGAGGGACCTCCGGAGGCCTCCAGGCGGCGTTCGTCGTTGTCGTGGACGTCGTAGTGGGCACGACCGACGCAGATGCCTCGACGCCACTGTCGTGGAGGCATACGCGTCGTCGTTGTGCCGAGCCCTCTTGGCTCTTGGCCAAGCCCTCTTACGGAACAGGGCCTCGCCCGAGTGCCGTTTCCCCGCCCCGACGGAGACGGGGACCAGCACCGCCCACCTGCTGGCACCCAAAGGTCACTCGGGGGTCACCAGGGCTAACTCGGGTAACTCGGGTCAGGGCTAACTCGGGTCGTTTTTCGGGAATCCGAACCCGACTTACCCCGGACCCGAATTACCCCGGATAACTCGGGTGCCCAGAACCCCACATCATCAGGGGTAACTCGGGTCAGGGCTAACTCGGGTTCGGCTTTCGGGAACCCAAGCCCGAGTTACCCCGGACCCGAGTTACCCCGGATAACTCGGGCGCCCAATGCTCGCACTCCCCCTCGCCACCCTCTGGGCCGCACCTTCCCCTACCGCGCAGCCTCTCCCACCTTGCCCCCCTCGCGGCGGCCCCCTCCCCGCGCGCCGTGCCGCCCGGCCACCTGCGGAGGAAGCCCCGCGCGCCCCTGCCGCGGGAGCCGGGCCGGCCTCTGCGCGCCTCTCCGCTCGGCCTCTGCGCGCGCCTCCGCGGCGCTGCTGCGCGTGCGGCCGCGACGCCCGAGCTCAGGAGGTGAAAAAACACACGGACACAATGAGTCGTCGATCCCCAGGAAAGTATTGGGAAATATGGGAACTGGGCGGGAAGACAGAGGCCCAGAAGATGTGGGAAGAGATGGGGAACCGTTTGATCTGTGTGTATTGATTTGTGTGTCCTTGGGCCCCTTCACAAGCTGCGTGTCTCCAATCCTCCGCTTCGCACGACGCCCTCCGGAGCCTGCGGCCACCCGGCACCGCTCTTTGGAGGCCCTGCGCGCCCCGAGCCCTCCTCTGGCCCGCCTCCGCGGCCGCTCTCCGCCTGTCCCGCCGGCGCCACTGCGCCATCAGCACCGCCGCGCCCCAGTCGCTGCTGCACCTGAAGAAGAAAAAGAAGAAGAAGAAGAAGAAGAAACATAATCATAATCAGAAGAAGAACTATTAAACCACTAATAATAACAATAATGGTAGTAATCAGAATATGAAGAAGAAGAAGAAGAAGAAGGCACAACTACACGAGCAGAAACTTTCGGGCGGATCTCTTGGACCGGCGCTGGGCCGCCCCCTGGCGGCGCCTCTGGCGCCGCCCGTGGCGCGCTCAGCGCGCCAGGGAGGGGGGTCTGGCGCCGATCCACGAGATCCGCGCGCGCGCACTCCTCCTCCTCCTCCTCCTCCTCCTCCTCCTCCTCCTCCTCCTCCTCCTCCTCCTCCTCCTCCGCGCACCTCCTCCGCGCACCTCCGAAAATTGATGGTCATCCAAGTTCCTACGTGGTGCAGTGGAGGCCCATGCCAAGAAGCACCCTGCTTGCCTCCAGGGTGCCGTGGGCTTCTTGGGCCTCGACGGTCTCGCGACGGCGGGCGTGACGTTCCCACACCACAGATCCAGGGACGTCCCGGGGTCTCGGGGTTGGGTTTCTTGTGGCAGGTCTCTTGTGGACTGGCCTCCACTTTTCAGGAGGGACAAGAACACGCAGACACAACGAATCGTCGATCCCCCAGAAAACATGGGAAAATATGGGAAGTGTGGGGGGGAAGACGAAACCCCAGAAAATGTGGGAAGATATGGGGAATCTTGTTATTTGCGTGTGTATATATATATATATATATATATATGTGTGTATGTGTATATATGTATATATATATATATATATATATATATATATATATATGTATGTGTGTGTGCATGTGTGCGTGTGTGTGTGTTTGTGTGTGTGTGTGTGTGTGTGTCCCAGGGCCCCTTCCGCTGTGTGTGCGCAGGCGCTCCGCGCGTGCCCGCCGCCGCTGGCAGCGCAGGGGGCCCTTAGCGCACGATGGCGGGCGCTCCCGCGCCGGCCGTGCGCTGCGCAGCGGCGGGGGC